TCCCGACTGTGAATGTCCCCACCGTGTTCTACTTCAGGGTATAGATGAACACATTATCCACATTGTCCAAATCAAGCTCGTGTGAGCTGACTTGGAGCAGGGTGGTGCTGGCCCAGTCCGCGGCTGGTTCCCATAGTGATCTTACACTATTACTTGATTTGCTCCAAGCAGCCCCATGCATCCTGGCTGCTCCAGAGCTCTTTTAACATTTGCCTCGTTCCCTTCCACTCTCCCAGTTTTGCAGGGTGCAGCTGGGGAGATGGTTTAGTGGTTAAGAGCACTTATTGCTCTTACAGAGGACCCGGGCGAGTTTGGTTCCCAGCACCCACACCAGGTGGCTCACAACTGTTTGTAACTCCAGCTCCAGGAGATCCTTTTCTGGCTCCACAGACACCCGCACAAGCCCCCCCCCCCCCCCCCCCCCACATGTAACTACACATAACTAAAGTGAATATTGTCTAAAGTCTTGGACATAGGATGTTCGCCCATGTATTCCTTTTCTGATTCCCCACAGTCTACTTTCTTTTCATGTCCACAACCCCCCCGAATCACCCCTCACTTGGCCACTTACCGTTTGTGGTGAAGCGCCTGCACTCCTCAGGGGTCATGTCTGGTTTATAGGCTGCGTCCACATAACCGTAAATGTAGGTACTACCAGAACCCCCGATGGCAAAGGGCTGTCGGATCAGCATTCCTCCCATGGTCCCATACACCTGGAGATCAGTTTCCACAGGTCAGAGTCAAGGATCACCCCACAGCTTCCTCCACTGGGACAAGCAGACATGAAGGCCGGGACCCCACAACTGAACCCGAACCTGCACCTGCAGTTTTCTTTCTTTCTTTCTTTCTTTCTTTCTTTCTTTCTTTCTTTCTTTCTCTTCCTTCCTTATTCATTCATTCATTCATTCATCTGTTTTGAAGCAGGGTCTCACTGTGTAGCCCTGGCTGGTCTGGAACTCTATCTACATCATGTTCTTCAGGCTCACAGAGGTCCACGTGCCCCCACCTCCCGAGTGCTGGGACTGAAGGCATGTGTCACCACACCTGGTCAGGTGTATGTTTTAGAGAACCTGTCTTTGGACCACATTGCCAGAATGAAGTGAGACTTTCATCTCTCTGAAGAGAGGAGTTGGGAACCCCGAGACCAGGAAGGGACACGCTTACCTGCCCCCCCTCACGTTGGTCCCAACCAGCTACCATGAGATGTGCAGACAAGTCCTCGCGGTACTTGTAGGTGATATTCCTTACCACGTTTGCAGCCGCCAGAACAAGGGGCGGCTCCTCCAGTTCCAACCTGAAGAGGGTGTTGGGAGTTAAGGTCAGTACCATGTTCTAAGTCCCACCCTTGGACCACGGTCACCCTCTCCCACCCTTGGCACCACGGTCACCCTCTTTGCCAGCCACAGTTGAGCCTGCAGCAGCTGCAGGAGACTCCAGCTTCTCTCCCACGTGCCTAGGGGAGCTGGGGTCCCACATCACCAGGGAGACACCTTCAGCTATTCACCCTCTTTTTCTGGGCTCCACCTTCCCACTCCAATTGATAAACCCCTTCTTTGACTCTAAGGGCCTTGCCCTCGTGGGTAAGAGCAGATAAGGGCCTTGCTTCCGGCCCAGTGACCTTGATTTCTCATCTGGCAACTGCTTGATATTAGGGGTGGGCCAAATTGTTATCTTCTTGATGATTTCCTATATCAGGGCAATGATGTGCCCTTTTCAAGCCTCCACAGGGAGATAGGGTCACTACTGTGATTTCCTCTCCACAGAAGCAGGACACTGGTCCCCAGACACTCCAGTGCAAGTTCAAAGCTGGCAAAGTCATGCAGCTGGGGGTTTTTACAGGACTCCGGGGCTTTGTACCCGTGCAGCTCCAGCTGGTAGGCGGCCATGTCAGCTATGGCTTGGGCATCAGCAGCTGAGCCGGAAAGGGCACAGTAGATTCGCTGGTGCAGGGGGGACAGCTTGTCAAACACCCGGTTCACCACCGCTTGTCTGTTGGGAAGGAGCCAAACGTTCAAGTCGGTCTGACAAGAGAAGAGCGAGGCTTGCAATGCTTCGGTTAAAACAGGAAAAGCAAAGAGACATTGTGTCAGCTAGGTAACTCACCGTGCTAACCACAGGGAGACTGCTGGGCTGGGGATGCAGCCCAGCTGGCTTAGTCCCTGCCTGGCAGGCGCAAAACCCAGTGTGGCCCAAGCCGGACATAGTGGCACTCAGGAAGAACAGGCAGGATCAGGAGTTCAAGGACAGCTTAACTACATAGCAAGTTTGAGGCCAACCTGTGCTACAGGAGACTCTATTTTAGATACTACAGTCCCCTGAGTCTAGGCTTTTAATTTTTATTTATTTTAAATAAATTTTAAATGCTTATATGTTATAGCAAAACAATAAAAAGACCACCTCGTTAAGAAAAGCATGCCTCTGAGCCAGGTGGCGGTGGTGCACATCTTTAATCCCAGCACTTGGGAGGCAAAGGCTGAAGGACTTTTGAGTTCGAAGTCAGCCTGGTTTATAGAGTGAGTTCTAGGACAGTCAGGGCTAAAAACCCTTTTTCAAAATAATAATAAAAAAGGTGAAGAAAAGAAGAAAAGCGTGCCTCTTCCTGGCGTTTCTCTGCTATCAAGTCACCTTGAGGGGCTGTGGTAGTTCTACAGAACAGAGCAGAAACAATTGGGATGTCAGCCACAGACTCACTGGTGTGTGGGGAAAATGGCCAGGAGGGGAGACCGAGCAAATGCAGATCAAACTGCGGCAAATGAGTGAGATCCCTGCTTGACAAAACCATTTTCATCCTAAGTGCAGATAGCAGGGTCTCCCCATAACCTACCCCGTGTTCCTCGGAGACAAGATTTCTTTACGTCCAACAAGCTACAAAACATTGAGCCCTGCAGATCCTTGCCCGGGAATTCAGAGGTCGGAACACCTACCCAGCATTGCATTCTGATGGCTTTCTGGAAAGTTAGAAAGCTTTTCTGGATGGTTACCATACTGTTCCAAAGCGGGTCAGGAAAAACGTGCACTTAGGGCCACCAGCTCCCTTCCCAACACATAGCGCTTTTATGATACTCACCCTGCTGACACCCGGGAATCAGAACCCACCACGACACCCCCATCAAACTCCACCGCCATGATGGTTGTCTGCAGAGAGACACAGAGCATGAAATGTCAGAGCAAGAAGCGCCTCGGCCCTTCATCTTAAGGAAGACCAACTCTTGGTGGCAGGGGTAACTGACTCAAGGTCATACAGTCCTTCGGGCCTGAGCTTCCCTCTGTTTTCTGTGCTGTTATATCCGACTGCAGGGGACTGTCACAGTTTGGCTGTACTACAGCGTAGAGACACCTACCCCCAAGCTCCAGCTTGCCTGAGTGTGACCCTTCCCACCCTGGAGAGAAGCTAGGACAGGGTTCTGAGAGGCGGAAGCAATCGGGACAGGAGGAGAAGGCCAGAGAGCAAATGTCTGCACTGCTTGCCCAGTGCGCACCACACGGGTGACTGTGAAACAGATGGGGTCTTTCCTGGTCTGGATCCCTCACCTGCACCCTTACTTAATCAGGAGCAGGTTCCCAGGGACAAGGGACAGGGAAGAGTGCTTAACACAGCCAGGAGCCCAGGCAGGAGGAAGCTGCCAGGATCGCTCAGAGAGAGCAGAAATCTCACTGAAGGGCCTTCTCGGCAACCAGGGGAGGGGCTGCTGGGGAGCAGCAGCTCAAGACAAGAATCAAGGAAATGTGAAGGAGGATAAAGACACGTCTACTTCTCCTACGCCCCTTGAGCTAAAAGGCGCCTTAGAGACCCTGGGTTGTACCGTTGCACCGAGAAAACTCATTAGGAGAATAGGTTTTCCAGGCTCACACAGGTCTCTCTCTGAACTCTTGATTGATTAGACTTCTACTCTCCACTGCTCCTTGGCAGCGAGGGGAGATTTTCCCAACCTTTCTGGCCACTCCACACCTCGTTCTGATCTCCAGGACCCTGAACCTGAGTGTGCTTTCTGACGTACTGACCACAAATAAAAGGCCAGAAATGGCCACTCCGTTCTACCAACTGCTCTCCCAAACCACGCTAGGAGTGTGGTTGGTGTTTCAGAGAGCAGAAACCAGTTCCCATCTCCTCCCCAGCTCCTAGGCCAGGGCAAAGTTCTCCTGCAAGCATGGGAGTGGAAGGGGAGGGTGGTGGGCGCAGGGCAACACCTGGGCCAAGGAGGGCCACCCATCACCCCTCAACCCCCCCATCCCCGCAACCCCAGCACTAGAGAGCTTGTCCTTAGGGTAGAGGTTGTGGAGGGCCAGGTTAAGCAAAGATATGTTTGATGTGTAGGTCCTTCTCAACGAGCCTTCATGTTACCTTTTCACCCAGGTCCTTCACACTTTGTCAGCCCCTCTCTGCAGCGTCCCCAAGCCCCTCACTTAGTTTAACCAATAGCCACCCCCACCCCTGCACTGACCAGAGTGAAAGCGAAAGCGCTTTGTAGCAGCTTCCCTTAGAAGCTTCCAGCTCGAGCCAAAGTACGCACCTTCCCACCAGCTTCGCATGCGGGTCCCTCCACAGACCCCGGGACATCACACTTCTGAGCAGGGATACCCTACGTTCACTGTGGGGCGCAAACGCTGGGCGCCACAAGCTTCCTAAGTCTCAGTCTCCTGGTCCGCTTCCCAGCGCTTTAGGGTTCTCTGGTCACCCCACCCGCTGACTCTCACCCCCAGACCCATTACCCCAGTGTGGACTTCTCCCGTCCGGAACAAGCCGGCGGTAGCTGCTCCTGCCCGCAGCATCTTAGCAGAGCGGAGTTCGGCTTTCCAACCGGGTGCTGCCCGCCGCGCTCCCAACTAGCAGCCTGTGGCCCCGCCCCATCACCGCTAAAGGGGCGGGCAGTTCTACTTGCACTTGGCGCCCTGCGCCAACCTGAGCAGGGCAGATCTGCCCAGAGACGAGTGACGATTGAAGGCACCGCCCTAAAACTGGGGTGGGGCCTGGGATGGGAAAATTCATGCAAGTACGCGAAGAAGGCTGGGAAAGATGAGGGGAATTGAGTGATGGAGAAAAACATGGGGCGCAGGAACTGAAGTTAGCCAGAACTTCAGATCTGACTTCAGCAGCTGCTTCCAGAACAGCCGGAATAGGCCAGCCTGGGCAGGCGGGTCTCAGAAGGGGCGTGTCTAGTGATTAGGTCACGGCTTTCGGTTTCTCCTTCCCGTAAACGCCTGCTCTTCTGGGCAGCGCCACTAGCTCCACCCGGTGCGGGGACTTTCCGCCGGGCCGCCCTTCTTCCCTCCCGCGGAGACTCCGGTGCAGCGGGAACGCGGAGAGTTCCAGGCTGGGACCAGACCTTGGACAGAGCGCACGATGGCTGCGCTTGCCTGGCTGGCGGCCGCGCTGCTGCTGCTGGTCGACTGGCTGCTGTTGCGGCCCGGGCTCCCGGGAATCTTCTCCCTGCTGATTCCGGAGTTGCCCCTGCTCCGGGTCTGGGCGGTGGGCCTGAGTCGCTGGGCCATCCTGGGGCTGGGGGTTCGCCAGGTCCTCGGGGTCACCACGGGAGCCCATGGATGGTTGGCTGTTTTGCCGCCGTTGGCAGCGGCGCTGGGGTTAGCCCAGCCGGGACTTGCCTTATTCCGAGAGCTGGCTTCCTGGGGAGCGCTCCGGGAGGGTGACAACGCTGGATTACTGTACTGGGGCAGTCGCCTCGACGCTTTCGCTCTCAGTTATGTGGCAGCATTGCCCGCTGCCGCCCTATGGTACAAGTTGGGGAGCCTCTGGGCGCCCAGCAGCCGCAGGGGTGCTAGAGACATGGTGTGTCGACTGTTAGGCTTCCTGGGTTCCGGGAAGCGGCGCCTCCACCTGGTTCTGATACTCTTGGTCCTCTCCTGCCTTGGTAAGAGGGACTCAGGGCGAAAGAGCAGGGCACAGGGGACAGGGAAGGAATCCAGAGTAACGGGCAGAAAGGAAGATAAAATGGTCAGGGGACGTGTCAGAGCCTACGGAGGCAACTTAGGAGGAAAGGGAAGGACCCTGGCCCGAGAGGTAGCTCTAACAAGGGTGCTGGGCACAGGGAGCAGAACTTGATATCACAGCCCCAGTGTGAGGGTTTCTTTCTACTTCACCATCTTTCTTTTCTTTTCTTTTTTCTTTCTTTCTTTCTTTTTTCCCTTTTAGACAGGGTCTTTCTATGTAGTCTGGTTGTTCTGGAACTCACTATGTAGCCCAGGCTGGCCTCAAACCCAGAGAGATCTGCCTGCTTCTGTCTCGCAGTGCTGGGACTAAAGACTTGTGCCTCAAGCCCTGCTAACTGACATTTTTCTTAACTAGTCCTTGAAAAGTTTGATGTAGCTGAACAGGCTTGGGTCGGCGGGCTCAGCTCCTGCTTTCTGGGTGGTGCAGGGAGAGGGACGGGAGGAGCTGGTAACTGGTGTGCCCATAACGTTTATGACTGAGCGACCCCCACCTCTCTCTCCAGGGGAAATGGCCATTCCCTTCTTCACCGGCCGCATCACCGACTGGATTCTCCAGGATAAGACAGCTCCTAGCTTTGCCCGCAACATCTGGCTCATGTCCATTCTCACCATAGCCAGGTGTGGAGGATGGGAATGGGGAGCCCCGGAGCAGAGGGAACCGGATGCTGTGACTGTTGTTTGGGATATCTCTGCAGGGATCTGGAACTCTGTTCCAGGAGCACATCTGACCCTCCTTCCATCTCTCCACCCCTCTAGCACAGTGCTGGAGTTTACTGGAGATGCCATCTACAACCTCACCATGGGCCACATGCACAGCCGCGCACATGGAGAGGTGTTCCGGGCTGTCCTTCGCCAGGAGACAGGGTTTTTCCTGCAGAACCAAGCAGGTAGCTCACAAAACTTTTCGTTTGTATAATATAACCTAAATATCTCTATACACACTGCCCTCAACTGCCCCCCTTTATAAACATCTACATACACATGCCTAGGTTCAACTCTCAGCCATATAAATGGGGCATGGCAATCCCAGCACTTGGGAGATGGAGGCAGGGGATAGAGGTTGAAGTTCAAAGTCAATCACCCACAGAGCCAACCTGAGGCCAGCCTACTACACGAGATCCTGTCTTAAAATCCAGGACTTCCTGTATGTTAGGCAAAAACTCTACCAGTTGAGAGACTTCCCAGGACTCCTTATTC